AGTGTTTTTATGTTACTTCATACGCGAAGTTAGCGTTTTCAGAGTTGGTTGGAAATGCTAACTGTAGAGTCCATGATTACCAGTTGTTTCTTAAACTAAGTGTCACACCCCTTGGTGATGATAGAGAGAAAGAGGAAAACAGAGCAAAGGAGGACACCGACAGGATAGGTGAGTGGGGCACAGGGTAGGAAGAGGCAGTTGAATGTGAATGGTGATCAGTATCGGACGAATAAAAGTAAAGTTGAAGCGTGAGATTGGTGGAGTAAATTAGAAATATTTTGGAGGAATATCACGGACCGGGAGAGGATTTTACAAATTGGCGCAGCCGGTACGATTTTGAAGTGAGTAGGTGAAAGTGCGAAGGGCTTGGATTTATAATCCGTTCAACATCTAGATCAATCAATTTTTTTTTTTTTTTGGTATGGGAGTGGGAAATGGAGGCTGAGAGTGAAGAGTTGTAGTGATGTGAGGATCAAATCGAGGCAACCATAGAGGTTTTGAACGTTAAATTGAGAAGGCTGAATTGATATGAGGATGTGAATGTGATGCTGGTTAATAGCCACGGTGTTTGCAAAGGAAGATTAATAAAGCTAACTTAGAGTTCACAGTAAACAAAAAAAAATAATAAAATTTGAAAAAAAGATTATTGTTCACGATGGAAAAATATGCGGGTCCGGTTGATGACCGTAGCGCTGGGCAAAGAGCACGAAGAAAAAAAAAACAATGAGAGATAAAACGATGCGAGACCGGTTGACGACCGAAGTGCACACATACAATGGAATGAAAAAACGAACAATTGTATTAAAGCTCGACTGCGTAAGAAAAGAGAGGCAACCTGCTAAGGGTACGCAATAAGATGTATACATGTAGAAAATTTTGAAAGTGTGAGTGTGAGCACAGTTGTCACACCAATTTATATCTGAGACATGTATGCAAACATCGTCCAGAGGATAAGATCAGGATTACTTCCACTCACTTGCTATAAAAAAATGTTTTTCGGAATTATGAAATCATGAAATAGTATAATGGTAATTAGTGCTTGTAAGTTACAAGAAGACGTCATGAAGTATATGTAAGACACATAAAACCTGTCAAAATTGCTTTCAGTGCGTCACAATCAGCGATTTAACGACTCGTGAGCGCTCACTCTGAGTGAACGCTCACGAATCATAAGATCGGTAATTGTGACGCTCTCAAAGCGAAATTGACAGGTTTTATGAGTCAAACACATACTTTACTACTTATTCTTGTTACTTACAAGTACAAAATAGCATTATTGCATCTAACGATTGCATAATTCCGAATAATATTTTTTTTATAGCAAGTGAGTGGAAGCAACCCTGGATAAGATATACGGACGAACGGGTGTTAGTGCATAGCAAAAGCAAATTTTTATAGCACAAAATAAAAAGGTGTCAGGTTGAATGTTTTTTATTTGTTTTTTTTTTCTGATTCTTCGACATTTATCGGTGAGAAGTGAAATGAAAAGTGAGATTTATATATTTTGTTTTCAAATAAATGAAGAGCGTTAACGTTCGGCAGGTATGAGAGATTGAAAAACTTACTATCTATTTCACAGATGGATTCTGAAAAGTACTTTCACTTGGACGGCTTCAATGATTCGGTGGATGCTTCCAATTTGCGGCAGGAGTGGGAAGAATGGCACAGAGCGTGTGAGCTCATTCTAGAACTGATGAATGTCAAATCGCAGCATGAGAAACTTCTCTTTATGTTGGCTCGAGGCGGAAGAGGTCTACAGCGAATATTTTATAATTTAGCACCGGTGGTTGGGGAAATTCATCCAGGTCCGGTCAAAGTACCACTCGCTCCGCAGGAAGTTCCGGAATACGACAACGGCGTGAAGCGTTTGAATGCGTTTTTTGTAGGAAAACGAAATGAGAGGGTCGAGCTGGAAGTATTCAGATCGCTCAAACAGAAAGCCGGAGAATCATTCAACTGTTACATTCTGAGATTACGTACACAATCAGCACGTTGTGACTTCCGGGATCGCGAGGAGAAAGAGCTGTTGCAGCAAATAACGGTTGGAGCTTTTGATGAAAGAATCCGTGATAAGGGCCTTGAAAGTATTATGAACCTGGATGAGCTAATTAATTACGCTATGAATCGAGAAATATTGATAAAGCAGAAGGAGAGATCTCAACCGCTTCGTTCTGAAGCTGGCGTAGTAGCATTGGTTAAGATGGATTCGGACAGGAAATCAGGATCAAGAGGTGGAAATTATGGTCAATCTGTAAAGCGTGAACGGAAGTGGGAGAATTTTGGTCGAACTGGTATTGAATGCAACCGATGCGGATCTTGGAACCACCATCGAGATTCAAGAGATTGTCTTGCAAGGAATGCCAACTGCCACAAATGCGGACGCTATGGCCACTTTGCCAGAAAGTGCATGGCTGGAAGAAATTCGTCATCGAAGACTCGCTATGCCTGGAAGAAATCTGATGCAGCCAATACTCTTCGCGATGAGGATCCATATGAGGCAGGATCGGGACGGGAGGAATTCCGTAATTTGAAGAACGAGACGCTTTCGAAGGTAGAATGATTTTGTCTATTTCAAATGTATTTACTTTTGATTTTGTTTTTTTTTTTTTATTGCTATGGATGGATACCTATTGGTATTTGTTAACTAAACAGTTGAGAGAGCTATGGTTACAATGTTACATTACTATACTGAAACGATGAGTCTTTAATAAACAATGCTAATAATGTTGTAATATAACAATTTGTTTTAACAGGTTGATACGGCAAACGATGGTACTGTCACGTGTATCATTGACCAACTTCCCGTGGAGTTCTTGATAGACTCGGGTGCGGTAATAAACACAATTACCGAGCAGGTTTGGGAACGCCTTTCGAGAAGTAACACTAAAATTTTCATAAGGAAGTTTCAGAGCAATCGGCAATTTACAGCATACGCTTGCCAAGAGCCGCTACAGGTACTAGTTGTGTTTGAAGCATGGATTTCGATTAACGAAAATAAGCCCAAGTCGTATGCTGAGTTTTTCGTGATCCGAGGCGCACGCAAGTCGTTGCTTTGCAAAGAGACAGCCGAAAGTCTTAAAGCCTTGAAGGTGGGGTTGGCAGTGCAAAATGTTGAACAAAACAAAGCAGCTTTCCCCAAATTCCCGAACATTCAAGTTAAATTGTCCATTGATCATAGTGTCCCTCCAAGAAAAATTGCATACCTTAGAATCCCCGCAGCAATGGAAGATAAGGTTGACCAAAAGATTCAGCAAATGTTGGATACAGATGTTATCGAACAAGTCGTGGGTCCTGCGGAATGGATATCACCCATGGTGGTTGTTCCCAAGGGAACGGATGACATCCGTTTGTGTATCAATATGCGATATCCCAATCAAGCGATACAAAGGGAACACTATCCGCTGCCATTGATCGACACCTTGTTGAACAAGCTTAAAGAAGCGAAGGTTTTCTCTAAGTTGGATATTACTTCTGCCTTTCACCACGTTGAGCTACACCCAGAATCACGCGGAATCACAACATTCATGACGAATAGGGGTCTGATGAGGTTTAAGCGACTTTCTTTCGGCATCAATTGCGCACCGGAAATATTTCAACGGATAATGTGTGAGATGTTGGCTGGTATTGATGGAGTAGTGGTGTATATTGATGACGTCGTTTTGTGGGGAAAATCTCAAGAGGAACATGACGAGCGTCTAGCGAAGGTGTTGGCTGTTCTTGATAGGAATCATGCGTTGTTGAATCAGGATAAATGTTTGATAGGAGTTGGCGAGCTTGAAATTCTGGGCTTTAAGGTTAGTGGCGCTGGGATCAGTCCAACCGACAACAAAATTGCTGCGATTCGAAACTTCAGAGAGCCGGAAACAAAAGAGGAAGTTCGGAGTTTTCTCGGTTTAATCAATTTCGTCGGTCAGTTCATCCCGCACTTATCAACAAGGACTGAGGCCTTGCGACAATTCATCAGGGGTGAGGCAGAATCCTTCGGTGAAAACCAGCGTCGAGCATTTGACGATCTGCGTGATGAACTGACTAAAACTGTTCACCGGCTGGGATTTTTCGATCCGAAGGACACAACAGAGTTGTATGTTGATGCGTCTCCGGTGGGTCTCGGGGCGGTGTTAACTCAGAGAGACAATTTGAATATGCCAAGGATCATAAGCTTTGCGTCAAAGGGGTTGACAAAGACGGAGAGAGTATATCCACAGACTCAGCGTGAAGCATTAGCTGTCGTGTGGGCTGTGGAAAAGTTTTATCCGTATTTGTTTGGAATTCGGTTTACGGTGTACACCGATCACAAAAGCCTTGAGTACATATTCCAAGGAAAGCATCAGGAAGGAAAGCGTGCTTGTTCGCGAGCTGAAGCATGGGCTTTACGTCTACAGCCCTATGATTTCTGCGTAAAATATATCCCTGGAGCTGACAATATCTCCGACATCTTCTCAAGACTATGCCCGCAGTCCGAAACATCTTTCGATGAAGATTCTGAGCATTACGTATGTGGAATTGGCGAGGGACCATCAGCCATTACGCTGGAAGAAATTAAAAAAGGAACCGAATGTGACGAAGTTCTCATCACGGTGGTCAAAGCTATTGAAACCCAAGTTTGGCCTCCGAATCTATTTTCATACCAGGCGTTCTCGAAGGAACTCGGAGTCATTGATGGTGTTGTAGTGAGGGATGATAGAATTATTCTCCCATCAGCTCTACGCCAGAGAGCCCTAGATATCGCACACAGAGGACATCCGGGAGTAGTCACAATGAAACGAAATCTAAGAGAAAAAGTTTGGTGGCCGTACATGGATCGCGATGTTGCTAACCGAGTCCGAGAGTGTGTAGCATGCACGGCAGTGAGTTCCCAAGCCCCACCAGAACCAATGCTGCGAAAAGAAATGCCAGACCGCGCGTGGCAGGATTTGGCAATAGATTTTTTTACTGCGAAGGAATGTGCGACGTTTTTAGTAGTAATCGACTACTACAGTCGATTTCTAACAGTTACTGAAATGAAGGGAACCAATGCTGGAAAGACCATTGAAGCTATCGAAAAGCTTTTCAACGAACATACCTATCCGGAAACCATTAGAGCTGATAATGGGCCTCCATTCGCCAGCGAGGAGTTTGCAAGCTACTGCATCAGTAAAAATATTCGGGTTGTACATTCCATTTCATACTGGCCGCAAATGAACGGCTTGGTTGAGCGGCAAAACCAGGGTGTCTTGCGAGCTTTAAGGATTGCCAGGGTGTTGAAGGAAGATTGGCGGAAATCAGTACAGAATTATGTGTACGCGTATAATACGACACCGCATTCTGTTACGGGAAAGTCACCGATGGAGCTTCTGAATGGGCGACCAGTGAAGGACCTTCTACCATCATTGAGGACAGAACCTTATTGGAAACGGGACGACGAAACACGCGACAGAGATGCAATCAAGAAGATGCAAGGAAAGCTTTACGCGGACAAGCGGCGGCATGCAAGACCGGCTGAAATCGGTGTGGGAGATGACGTAATGCTACGGAATTATGAAATGGGGAAACTGGAGCCTTGTTTTCGTCCGGAAAAGTACAAAGTTGTACAGAAAAATGGTTCGGATGTAATCGTGGTGAGTGAATATGGTGTTCGTTATCGGCGTCCTGTTGCCCATTTGAGGAAATGGCCCACTCAACAATGTGAAGGAGCTGATTGCAATCCCTCACAAGGCGTTGAGTTGCAGCAATTACCAACTACGACGGATCACACATCGCAGGAGTCGAATGACATGGATGTTCAGGATGCTGAAAGTGAAGAAGTTCCAGTGGCCAAACGTGCCAAGAGAAGCACTAAGCGATCCACTCGGTTTGATGAATAAAAGTATTGCAAGTGTTTTTTTTTCTCGTATAATTTTTTTTATTAATGGAGTAGAAAAGGGATGTAGAGTCCATGATTACCAGTTGTTTCTTAAACTAAGTGTCACACCCCTTGGTGATGATAGAGAGAAAGAGAGAGAGAGAGAAAGAGGAAAACAGAGCAAAGGAGGACACCGACAGGATAGGTGAGTGGGGCACAGGGTAGGAAGAGGCAGTTGAATGTGAATGGTGATCAGTATCGGACGAATAAAAGTAAAGTTGAAGCGTGAGATTGGTGGAGTAAATTAGAAATATTTTGGAGGAATATCACGGACCGGGAGAGGATTTTACACTAACATGAAGCTTTTAGTGTGATAATTTATTAGCTAGAGAATGATTTTTAGAAGAGGGTATGTGGATAGTTCCGTTAGAGTACGGCAGTATGAAAATTGAACGCTAGAACCACAAACGAAGTGACAGACGACTAACTGGCGAAGAAATCCATTTAAATAATGTGGTTCACTGTAATAGAATTTTCTTGGAAGCTTGTGCCATCATCCACCAGATGGGTTAGTTTTTTTGTTTTAATTTGAACAAAGTTGATTTTGTGTACAATGATTCTTTGACAGTGTGCAAAGAGTGCTTATCATTTTGTCATTTTTTTATGCTTTTCAGTTTTGAGTAGAGTGAAAGAGATAGAACCAAAACATTCTAGTACATTTGGTGAAAATGCTAGTTCAATCTAGTAGTAGTGTTGCCATGTGGTAAAATCCAGTAGTAGTGGTGTTGCCATGTGGTACACTGAAAAATTGCAATAGCAGGTTAGTCACCAAAGTTTTCGAGCCGCTCCGTCTGTCACTTCGTTTGTGCTAGAACTATTCCACAGCCGCAGTCAGTTATGAGCAGAAGGAGGACGCACATCTTTTGCCTGTAGACTTGGAGACATACTTCAAGTCTCCGCGTACATCGTACAGGTTAGGCAAAAGATGTGCGTCTATCTTTAAAAACTGTCGCATTAATCGAGGGGGGTGACACATCTAAATCTCGATTCTAGATGCTCAAAAAATCTCACACTAGCGAATAAATCTTCGAAAAATCTTCTTTCATTTTTCGCTCGCGCATCATTTTTTTGCAGGAAATCTTCAAAATTGTGATAAATCTTCTTGCTATCTACTCAGCGTACGCACAGCTAGCCACAGCAAAACACAATATTTTCTGCATCGTAGATAGAGTCGTCCCCCTCGGCATTAATGGCCCTTCGCTCATTTTCAACTTCTATTCAATTTTCATACTGCCGTACTCTAACGGAACTATCCACCTACCCTCTTCTAGAAATCATTCTCTAGCTAATAAATTATCACACTAAAAGCTTCATGTTAGCATTTCCAACCAACTCCAAAAATATATATGTTTATTATATAAAAATATAAATAGCTCAAAGTAAATTGAAAACACGTTTTCAACTTAAATAATATGTATGTTTGAATTAACTTCAAAAGCATGTTTATATCAACAATACATAATCTGGGTAAACAATTTTCAGCGTGTCTTTTTTTCCTTGTTTACATTCGGCAAACTCAACCGAAAACGGGCTGCAAGCGGCGAAACCGATGCGTAGATGCTTCGGAAACCCACACAAGTAATGGAACACTTACTCGACAAAACCGGTGGAACCCCGCAATATGAACGTCACTCCGTCGTTTCTGATGCCAATCCCCATATCATCCTCACCCCCACCCGACGTCAAAAGAAAAAGAAAAAACAGATAATCCCCCAACACCAAAGGTAGAAAGAGGCCGGTATAAGGACCAGCGTCAGAAACGACACACCGAGGCGATTATCACAAAGTTTCACCGGGTTTACTGAACTGGAACCCCCGGACACCCACTCCGACGGCCCCCCGGATCTCGAACCTGGATCCCAACACCCATAGACCACCCTTAATCGCACCGAAAAATAGCAGGCATATAGATGTCCTGTCTGCCGATTTCCATTTATTTGCTATCCATTTTAAATATTTTGTTTTATCCCGCATTAAAATGCTTAAATAATTTCAAAATATGTTTTTATTTTATTTTAAACATGAAAAGCATGTTTAAAATAAACATATTTATTTTGGATCACATATCCGGATAACTTCGAGATTTGGGCGTAATTGCTTTTGTAAACAAACACGTCAATCACCAATTTCGCGCGAAAAAACTATACCAAATGGTAGAGGAACCACTCCTCTACCTGTTTGTGTTATTAGTTTTTTAGATTGAGCTTTAATTCGCGAGAAATCGCCAAAGGACGTGTTTGTTTACAAAAGCAATTACGCCCTAATCTCGAAGTTCTCCGGATATTGTTGTCAAATCAACCAAAAATATTCACGTTATTTTCAACACGAATATATTTAAAATAAACGTAACAATATTTTTTTTTAAACATTATTGACAATGAATTCAAACATGGAATACGTTTAAAATAACTTGTTTATGTTTGTGGCCAGAACAAACTGAGTTTACATTTAAATTTACCTCAAATATGTTTGTTTCGACCGAGGTTTCGAGTGTAAATCGGTAAACGGTAATCGCAAATAATGTTTTAGTTGGGAATGTGCTTGCATTTGTCATGGTGGCGCCACTGAAGCATTGAGCAAGCCCCCACATTTCAAACTTATCAGTGACGCCAGTTCTTTTTCACGTCTAGTTAGTAGATGTCAGCTCTTGAAAATGATAAGTGGTCAAGTCATCCCACTGGAGACACGTACCACATCTGACGAATACAGAAACAAAAGTTGTTGAATATTACATCAAAACTGCTGCACATTAGTCATTCCGTTATATTACTTTGTACGAGGCACACAGAATTCGAGAACAAATCATGTTGATGACTGTAATATTCTATCAACAACCAGTTATTGATGTTCAATACTTCACCATGAATATCATTGATTGATACATATTTTTTTTCTGTGTACATTAAAGTGATGAGCGGTGGTATAAAGGGCACTAATAACACCGACAAACCGACATGAAACTTAACCTTAAATCTTGATCGAAAATCCATAACGGCGGATTCAAATGTGCAGCGAGCGAGCCCATCTGTCAGAACCATAGAAATTTTTATTTAGATAAAAATAATATGCCCGGAATAGATTAGACACGAACCAGCTCATACATTTTGTATGCGTGTTCATGGCTAGGATAAACATTTTTCGCAAACACGGCGACAGATGTCAGTTTTGTGCTTTGATACTTTGATACATTGTATGGTCATTCATGTCGGTTTGTCGGTGCTAATAAGTGATGCATTACCTCGTTTATAAACTTGTCCATTAAAAGAAAAAGCACACTAAACAAACAAAACAAATCCTTAAAAAAAGTCTTAGCTTCTGTGAATTTTTCCTACGGATCCGTATTTCTGCAGAATTCAATCAATTCTATAGATCTACGGAAAATTTCGTAGAACCGACATCACTGACTTCAATCTGTTTTGTTTTTATTCAACACAGCTGACGCGTTGACAGAACGAGGGAAAAGCAACTAGTGAAAAAATTGCATGAAAGAGGGATGCTCCGGTTGCAAAACAATGCTTGGGAATGTGGATGATAGATGGTGCTAGTGCACATGTAAAATACGCTTGACGATATTTTGTGAAGAATTTTCTTCCAAGAGTTATGTCTGTTTGTCTGTGGCTGAACTTTTCGGTAAAATTTATGCAGTTTAATTCAATTGCTGTCCAGTTACTTTGAAACTAAATCTACACTAAAATGTGCCGAAGCCTAATTTTAGAAACTGTACCATAAAAAAAAGAAGACGAACACAAAAAAATAAACTACCCGCACGGTTCAATCCACAACTTGATCCACAACTGAAAAATTTAAAGAATAAAAAACAGAAAGCTCATAAACTATACAAAAAAGAAAAAACTGAAACCATTTTGCGAAACTATCACAACTTATGTAACCAGTTAAATACAGCCATCAACTCTGCATATGAGGACTATAACCGCAAAGTCGAAAATGAAGTCAAATCATGTCCTAAGAACTTTTTTAATTATGTAAACACGAAATTAAAAAGCAGCAATTTTCCTTCGCGAATGAATTTGGATGCAAATGAGGTGAGAATTCTTCTGTAATTTGCAATCTCTTTGCAAATTTCTTCCAAGAAGTATACACCACATTTTCCGAAGAAGATCGTGACAGCGATTTCTTTGCATTCATTCCTGAAATTTCTAAAAACATCTCTGTCAACCAATTTTCTCAACATGAAGTCCTCAATGCACTAAAAAACTTAAACGCGTCGAAAGGGTCTGGACCTGACGGCATCGCACCCATATTTTTGAAAAACCTTTCTGAAGAACTCACATTTCCTCTAGAGCGTCTTTTCAACATGTCTCTGAAAAATGGAAAATTCCCTGAAATTTGGAAATCATCTTATTTGGCTCGATATTTGGTACCTATTTTCAAATCAGGTGCAAAATCAGACATTCGAAATTATCGTGGAATTGCTATTATTTCTTGCATTCCAAAACTTTTTGAATCAATCGTAAACGGCAATATTTTTCAGCAGGTGAAAAATCTAAACAGCACGGCTTTTTTAAAGGTCGCTCAACTACCTCTAATCTTCTAGAATATGTATCTTTCATTATTAAAGCGTTGGACAGTGGCAAGCACGTTGAAGCGCTATACACCGACTTCAGTAAAGCATTTGACCGCATCGCCATACCATTATTAATCCTCAAATTGCATAAAATAGGAATGGGGCCTGGACTTTTGAATTGGCTTCAATCATACCTAACACATCGTAAACAAATAGTCCGCTTCCAAAATAAACTTTCAGAACCAATTTCAGTCACCTCTGGGGTACCCCAGGGTTCTCCTTTAGGCCCACTTCTTTTTATTTTGTACATAAACGACATTTCCTACATACTAAAAAAAAATAAAATTGCTTGTATATGCAGACGACATGAAGCTCTTTATGGAAATAAGTAATTCTAGCGATGCAGAAGAATTCCAGAATGAAATCAATATATTCCA